AAACTTGAGGATAAATTAATTGTGTCTTCGTTATTTCAGGTTACGCACTTCCGCACGCAATTTTGCGTCTGGATTTGGCTGGACGGGACTTGACAGATTACTTAATGAAGATCCTCACTGAACGTGGTTACTCATTCACAACCACGGCTGAGCGTGAAATTGTGCGTGACATCAAGGAGAAGTTGTGCTATGTCGCCTTAGACTTCGAGCAGGAAATGGCAACTGCTGCATCGTCCTCGTCCCTTGAAAAGTCTTATGAATTGCCTGATGGCCAAGTGATTACCGTAGGCAACGAACGATTCCGATGCCCAGAAGCTCTATTTCAGGTCAGCTGGGAATTTTTGACTCTTTATATAGAAGGAGCTAAGATTACAATGTAAGCAATTTATTTGGGGAATTTCCTTTCTAATTGAAATTTTGATTTCTTTGCAAAAAGAAGAATCTTTTTAGCCATCCTTCTTGGGTATGGAATCTGCTGGTATTCATGAAACAACTTACAATAGCATCATGAAATGTGATATCGACATCCGGAAAGATCTCTACGCTAACAATGTTTTGTCCGGTGGCTCGACTATGTACCCGGGTATTGCAGATAGGATGCAGGTTGGTTTCACTTTCATCTCCAAGAAAAATTTTGGTTCTGGAATAATGAGGGAGTCAGAGTAATACATAGCTTAAAATCCCAATATGAAAACTTCTCAATTCTCTTCGAAAGTTGTTTAATTTTCCAGAAAGAAATCACAGCCCTGGCACCAAGCACGATGAAGATCAAAATTATTGCACCACCAGAGCGCAAATACTCCGTATGGATTGGTGGCTCCATCTTGGCTTCCCTATCCACCTTCCAACAGGTACAGCTACTTTTCAATTGTTTTTTTTCTTTTTGTAATAATTCAGGAATAGATTTGAAACAAATTTATCAGTACAAAAGTGGGAGAAGTCAATGCTTCAGCAAATGAAGGCATTGTCTGATTATTTAACAATGGTAGCGTAATCCACTGAATTTTCAACAAATTATAGATGTGGATCTCGAAGCAGGAATACGATGAATCTGGCCCATCAATTGTACATCGTAAATGCTTCTAAGATATCACAATCAAAAACTTATTCACAAGGGAGCAACTCAGCAGAATGAGTTGCGCACATGTTGCGTTCACGCTACCGGGCGACGTGTTCGTATTTTAACCTTACACAGAATATGTCTTTTAGTTGAGATATCAGTTTTTTCTCCTACTTCATTTGTCTTATCAAAAATTTGCGATCATTTTGTCAACCATGTCACATAAAAGTCTCAATCGTCCGCATATAATTGGGTAAATGAATATGCTTTTTCTTGTTGATATAAATCGTTTCTTCGCTCATTTGATGATACAAAAAGTTCAATAAAGGTTTTTGTGGTTTTTTATCTTTATTATTTGAAATTAGGACCATTTATTACGAGTAATTATGCAGGCGTCCTGTTTAATAATCCTTAGATCGGATGCGTAATTCTATCAGTCATTGTCCATTACACTGATAAAATGGGCAGAGATGGTTCATAAGTAATCCTTTTCTTCCACACTTTGCAAGTGAAGTTTACAGGGGTTTTCTACCAGGTCTTTTGCAAAATTGCGTTATTACGATCTCTTTGTTAAAGGAAGGGTCATAATGGCTAGACCAAACTTCCCACTCTCTTCTGCTTATTAATCAAAAATTCTAAGCTGACATGGTGCAGAACTTTTAGGGATTTAGGAAAAATCAATAATTAGCTGGAAAAAAGATGAAGATAAAATCTTTATATGATCCTTTATCTCAACTTCTTGAGGTAGACATTTAACCAACTTGATAACAGACAAGTGAAGAGTACCTTCTGTGCAAATAATTAATTCATTTATATCATATTCTCGAACAAATTACACTACACTCTATAGGCTCAAAGAAACTGTGTAAAATAGGACTATGTCTAAAAGCACTCACTCACTCTCTCTCGTTGTAAAATGACGGTTGTTCTCGTTGTTGACGCTGACCGTGATATGTTAGTGTAGAATATTAGCTTCCGTTCTTACATCCAGTAATGATCGTCTCTTTTTCTGTTTTTTTCAGTTCCCAAGCAAAGGACAAGAGTTGTTGATAAATCAAAATTTTAAATTTGTATTCTGAAATTGTCAAGGGTAGTGAATGTTTACCTCATACCTATTTAAAATTCCTTTAAAAGTCATGAAGTTGGGTATTTCTACGGCGATATTAAAATGAAATCCACAGTATTTTCAATAATAATTTATGACTAGGATCGTTACAAATACTTGATACGGCTATGTTTTCAATCCTCAACAATTCTCGTCAAATCGTTTTGCTTGCAGCGGTCAGTTGATAATTTGATCGAATCGTTGAGATAAATCACTTGAGAAGCCAAAAAAAAAAAGAAAATTTTGGTTAATTTGGAAACTTGTTTCCAAATCATAATTTTAGGGGTCATATAGATTGCCTGACTGAGATTACGGGAACGTAAAATTTGTGCGGTATTTGCATATCCAATAGTGACATTTATAGGAGAGGTATCTTTTTGTCAACATTATAAAAAATAACTGACTAATCGAAGTATTCATAAGTGAAAGAAAAATTCCAAAATTTTCATTGTTTTTCGATAATTTAAAGAAAAAAAGATAAAAACATGTCAACATTATTTTCTTAATTTTCAATGAACCAGTGATGTGTAATGTGCCATTTGCCGTACTGAAAGTACGGAATTTTCGATAAAAGATAAAACGGCCAAAAAGGAAGCTGAAAAAGAGAGAGAGGAAAGTGTAATGGAATCAGTTGTTATCATTGCATTGCTTACGGAAAGTTTGCAAAAAAAAAAAAGATTGCTTGAAGATTTTGCACTTTCCTCCATCTTTGCAATTTTCTGGAACATTGAAAATGAAATTTAGTAATTAGCAATTTCTACAAATTATTGCTATATGGCAGTTTATAAAGATCGCAGTGCTTTTAAAACTTTTAAGATTTTTGGAAATGATTTCAATCATTAAATGCAAAAAGAGATTTTAGGGATTATTTATTTGAAAAATTACAATGCTAAATATTATATTTTTGTATAAATTGTAACGTTATTACATTTTTCCTGGAAAAATTATATTCGAGTTATTAAGTTTTATAATATTCTGTATATAAGGTTAACAGGAAAGCGGAACTTTTCGAAGGAAAATTTGAAAGAACGATCTTCGAGGAAATAAACCAATCTGAGAATCATAGATGAGAACAGTTTGAACAATTTAAAACGAAAATGAAATTTTAAACAGATGATGGGAAGATGACGATCAGGAATTAAGGACAGGATAAAATAATCTGACTGTGCGATTGTGTTTTTCATTTATTTTAACAATAAAAAATTATGCTCAATTGTTCAAAAAAGACTCTCGCTTAATTCCCTGTAGAATTTTCATTATATTCTCGAGGAGATATCCTGAACTATCAATGAATTTTCTTCATTCGTCGACTTCTCCTTAATGTGGCAAGATAAGATATTTAAAATCTCAATTTCTTATCATTGGAGAGGAATCAAAAAAGAAAAAAAATTTAATCAATTGATAGTGGGCCGTGAAGTTGTAATTTATAAAAGTTTGAAGAGAATGAATGCTCAATCACAAAGAGAGGAAATTTACTTCTTCGAAGGTGACGAAAGAGAAGAAAAACAGAAAGCACATTGAAAGAAAGATAGGGAGTATTTTAAAGAAGTTGCAGATGATACTGAGTCAACTCTTCCATTCAGCGACCTGAATATGCTTGGAGAAGCATATCTAAATTGTAGACAATTTTGTGCTATTTAAAAAGTGTATTGTGAAATATTATGCAGATTACCTCAGCATATTATTTACCACTGATTTATTTTATATTCGACTTTCAGTTCTTTACGGTAGCTTGAAGTTCTAGCTTTTGGTTTAGGTTCAAGAGCAGAAGTTTTGAATTCTAGATCTTATACTGTAATGAGTTTTGTAAAACAAGGAATACAGTTTGCTTATGAATTTAGGATGAATTGAATTTCGGAATCAAATGGTAAACATCAAGAGTTAGAACAGTTTCTAACACTTTGTAGAGGAATATTTTTGATGAAATTACTAATATCAAGTTTTAATAAAAGTAAACGGTGCCAAACAAATTATCAAATTAACAACCTCGCGTCTGCTGACTGATAACAATTTGTTTCAAGTTATTCTTAGCTTTACAAATATGAACTGCAAAAATGAAGAAATTTCCGATTCGGTCGCACAGGAAATTAACTCCACGACATCAATGACATCTTTTCTCCTCTCCGAATGGCTATCTTTTATCAGTGATAAAGCATGAAGTGTTTCATATGAAAATTAAAAGCTTTAAGCAAAAAAAAGGTCGAATGGGAATAAGAAAATAACAATCAGCTATCAATTCGATTGTTTCAAGTGAAAGTAAAATGATATTGTTTCTAAAAATATTACCAAAGATAAAGATCGGTCAGATTTGGGATTGTTTTCAGTCTTCGTATGCTTCAAAAACAGAGAACTGTTAGAAAGTGAAGAAAGAGAGAGAGAGAGAAGAGAGAGAGAGAGAGAAGAGAGGGAGGGAAAGAGAGAGAGAGTTGTGTGTTGCTAGTGCTGTCATCATTACCTCTCAGGATAAGATGTCGCTGTTTTCAAAATAATTCCTGAACAATTCTTCATTCTTGCATTTCTTCTTCAAAGCATATCCTTCTTCCCCTGCAGTCTATCAATATTCTCTCTATCATCCAGATGAAAGGTGGGTGTAGTTGATGAGGATGAAGATGTTCAGATTTTCATAGGAATTCCTCTCTTTTCTCAGCAACATCTTCTCTTGAATTCTCAGGAAAAGGATTCGATCCCTCCCCCTCAGCAACGCTTGAAAAAGCTGGTAAGCAGTAAGCACTCTTGAAGCAATATCCCTGATCGCACTATATAAGCCTCAGAATACATCTCAGTTTACTGATA